CTTGCAATCCGATCGATGGCTACAAATATTCTAAATGTTCTATGCACCGAATTTGTAACATATCGTTACGTACTTAACGACATGACTAATATACCCTCTGCCAGGATATATACAAAATGGGAGGGAAATAGTATGGGGATTTTTCTTATATTTAGTTGCGCAGAAAAACAGGCCGTCGCCGCCACAGCGTCCAGACAATGTATCGTCGCCACCGCAAACATCGCCCCTGTGCCCGTCCCCCCTTTGCATACATTTAAAGTGTGTTTTTTACATGCCTTTTGTTTTTTGCCACGCCTCGGCGCAGCAGCAGCGGCAGCAGCGTTGGCAGAGACGCAGCTGAGACGTGTAAACAAACTCATTTAACTGATTTTTCATGAAAGAAAATGTGGCTCCTGGGCAACGGCTGATGGCCACGGCCGGAGTACGCCAAATTATCATCATGTCGACTGCGTTTTCCTTTTTTTTTTATATATTTTTCTTTTTTTTTTTGTTGCGGCCAACTCTTTGCTCTAAAACAAAATGGCGCACATCCTGGGGCAAGATTTACATGTCACTCGGCAAACTTTGAGCCTGAACTGACCTCAGCTCTGGTCCGGAGCAACTTGGTTGCCCTTCTTGGCGGCTGTTGGCTCTAGTCGAGGGTCTGTCTCAAGTTGTGCACACAATCTTTGCATAATTTCTTGCTACCAGAAGGTGCACACCCACACACACACACGACACCGCCCCCGCACCGCCCCCGCCTCCGCCCAGTAAGCGCTAAGCGGCGAAACGGCAAATGTCAGCAGAAAAAAAACTAGCAACAACTTTTTTTGTGTCTCATCTAGCAGAAGTAAAACCCGAAAAGGACGACGCCGGCTTCTTAAGCGGAGTTAGCTAACAAATTGCCTCTAGCTCAACGATGACTATCTGAAATTAGTGCTGGCTAGGAAAGGAACTAGTGGTGCGAGCGGGTAGCCCCTGAATTAGCACACGCATTAGGCTAACATAATCGAGTATGAAAATGGCGGACTTATGCATACAATCAGTAGTTGCCAAACAGCCCCTGCATACCAAGTGGAAAAGCCATGCTCAAGGAGATCCAAACATCAACATAAACGCCAACGTCCTTGCCGACACGCAGAAGCCCAAAGCCGCAAACGAGTTCCCGTTAAATAACTAAAAGAAAATAATATTTCGGGGAACCAACCAGAAATATATATCAAATATATATACAATATATTTATAATATATAAAAAATCATATCATATGGCGGATGAGATAAGACAATTAAACAGCAACAACGTTAACAGAGCATAAACATTGCAACATTCTAGAAAACCCCAGAAGCCTTAAACACTTTAAAAATATTGAAAAGCCCCTTATAGATCGTATAGAAATACAATTTATAAAAACATGTCAATTGCTGTAGCTGCTTTCAAGTGGTATTTTATAATCTTTCTAGATTTACTCTTTCTCACATCTTAAGTATTAAGAAATTTTAGAAGTTATTGATTTCTCCACTCATAATTTTGCCCTGCAGTGTGCAGCAAGAATCCTTTCAACAATTCTTGTAAAACATTTCCAAACGAATTTCTTAAATTTTTAAAATAATTTATTTTCCCTGTAGTAAATCCAATACTTTGCAATATTTAGTCACCAATATTTTGAAACTGAAAATTGGTATGGTTAAAGCAATTATTGTTATCGTTGCCTGGGGACCAATGAAACAACGAACAGATATTTTTAAGTTGAAGCATGTGCAGCTTCGTGGAGATCTAAAATAAAACCAACTTATCAACCATATTTAATTTCAATTTTAATAGAATAAATAAATATGCCTTACGCATAACAAATAAATACAAATGTTTGTGGGTATCATAGAAGGAGGGCCAGGGAGTATGGCTCTTAAGCTGTATTAGCCAGGCTATTTCACATCTTACATTGTTATTCGAAAGCTTTTCACTGAACTCCCCGAAATTCTTTAGTAATTTGTTTGTGTGGAAATTCGAGAAAATCGAAAAGTGTCGCCCCCGCTCTATTACAATCAAACTTCATGATATATTATTGCTGCACTGTGGTATCGGACTTCAAAGAAGTCAAAAGTTTACTTTAAAAGTAGAAGAACAGAAGCTCTAACTTTGCCTAGCTATTGCCAGGCAGGTGTAGTGATTGCGGCGGGTGGAAGGTAGGGGTTGCGACAGCAAAATGGCGTGCGAGTACGTCAAATTCAAAGGATAATTGAGACATGTAAACAATATCCTTAAGTGCAAAGGCAAAAAATTGCGCACATCAAAGGTCGAGCGTGCCATTCACCCAGCTGGAAAGCAATTAACACGCTTTAGAATAAGCAGGCAGCTAGCTAGCTGCTGCCAAAGTTGGCAGCGGGCAGGCGCAACATTAAAATATTAAATACCCACTCACAAAAGGATTGCTGCAGCACGGGCGGTGTCTGCTGCTGGTGGTGGCTCAAAAGTGCCTGGCACACACGCACGACAAAGCAGAATAATAAATTTCAATTCAGACGAGGGCGACATCAGAACTTCTTTCTGACGCACGTTGAATTCAGTACTGCCACGTTGATAAGAAGGTGCCACAGCACTCAGAGGTGCCACCATGCATGCAAATGCCCCTCGTACCACCTGGCCACACAGCTAGCTAAAGAAATAAAAAAAAAAAACGAGGTAACGTGTGTGGCGCGGGGCAACAAAAAAGAAATATTTAAAAAAAGATTGCTTTATGCGAGCGCACACAAGAAGCCAGTCGGGGAAAAAGTCTTGCATAAGCTAGCAAAGCTTGATGGTGCTGGGGGCTGCAAAAAGGAAATGCGCAACGCAGCTCAAAGGTGTCAAGCGGAAAATAAAGCATAATAGTTCTCTCTGTTCTGCACTTTGGCTGGAGCAAACGCCTGCAACAGCCACACAACAACTGCTGCAGTGGCAGGTGGAAACGCCTAGACAGCCATCAGTCCATCAGTCAGTCGCTGCGACCTTCTTCAGTGCGTAGACGGTGGAAACTGCTCGACGCATTTTCCTCCCAAGACTTTTGCGGCCTACACAAAACTCATGCATGTACATAGCAGAAAGTATGCGTGTGTGTGTCAAACGAAAAGTTCAAAATTAAAGCGTCTTGATGAAAAATAAAGCAAAGCTGGCTTATAAATTATGTTGATGTGAGCGCTGCTTCAAAGAACATTTTTAATTAGGCAAAGCACAAGCTTAAGCTTTCTTTATGTTTATATGTGAAATCGGAGAACATCTCAATTAATGATACTATGTCATACATTTTCCATTTTTCTGTTGAATGGAACAGTGTACTATGTATTAGCTATTAATATCGTTGACAATTGCGAGATTCAATTTCAATTTAGATGAGTCTTTTTTCAGCTAAAATGCTTTTGAAATAATTATTGTCTTTTATTTATATATACTTCTCAATGTCACTTGGAGTTTCTGTGAGATTCATATATTATTGTATGAGACCCAAGATATGGAATCATGGGAATGCAGCGCGTGGCATTGCAGCCATGGGAGAATCGTATACTCATTATTAACTAGAAAAAGCTATTAGCCTTGATGTCTATTACAGTCCCAGTAAGATTGTTTGGGTTATCTCTTCCGCAGCTCAATTCAATTTGTTTGAAAAAACGCACGCAAATTAACTGTGGCAAAAGCCGACTGACTCAGCTACCAGAAAGACTGTGTATGATAACGGCAAACTCTGGAACATTTTGACTGAGCCCCATTAAATCTAAAGAATGTCCTCACAGGAATCCTAAATCCTGTGTATGGCAACTAGCCTATTTACAATAAATACGTTCCGATCCTAGTACATTCAGAACTTAAGAATAATTCTTTATTTAGATGTTGAATTTTTTCTTTTCTCTTGTTTTGCAGGCAGTTTGCATTTGGAATAATGTAAAAATGCGCAAAGCGAGGCCGCATTCCGAAAGTGGAGCTGCAAATCGAAGCTGTGCTTGTGCAACATCTTGTGGCAGCCACACGCTGAGCCATGTCCAATGCACAACGACGACAACTTGATGACGTCAACGCCAGCAGCCAGAACTGCCAACTGATTTGAAGAAATGAGCATGACATGCAACAACAACAACAACAACAACAACAAGTATCAGCAACAAAAGCAAAAACAATACAAACAATAACGACAAAAGTAATTTGAATTTGGGCGAGCAACAGGAAACAGAACAATACAAAGAAAAGGCAGAGACAGAGAGAGAGAGAGAGTTCGTGAGAGAGAGAGAGAGCGAGGGAAATAGCGGGAAATACAACGCAATGCAAATTTTGTGCATATTTTGCTTATATCTGTGCGTGTCCGTGTATATGTGAGTGTTTGTTGTGGGTGTGGTCGTGAGCGTGTCCGTGTAAATAAATGCTCTATAAAACGGGACAGGAGGCAACAGCATCAGCAAAAGAAATAGCCAGACGAAACGGCAAAAAGTGCAGTTAAGCGTGGAAATTGCATTAAACATTGAAACAAAAAAAAACAAGAAAGAAAAGTGGAAAAAGGCAAAAGAATCGTCGCAGCTAACGAGCGCCAAAAAAGAGAGTAGAATAACGCTTACAAAAATAGCAACTGCAGAAAGCGAGTAAAAAGTTTTGATTGAAAATTTTCATTGTGCTTTCATTTGGCTGCGCTGCAGTTGCCAACACAAAAACAACAAGCACTTGCAACAACAACAAAACTTGCAACAACAATAGCCGCGCCGCCAATTTGTTTGCCGCCGACGCGCGATGCGGTGACTGTGTAAATTTCTGATTAAAAGCAAGCATAAAGAGAAAAAAAAAAAGCAAAAAACAAATCAATACACAAAGTGAAATTGTAGCATGCCCCAAAAGCAGAACAAACGATTGAGACTTACAAAAAAAAAAAATTAATATAAAAGAAATATTAATAACAATTGCTGGTACACACTGCCAGCTCCTGCATATTCGTTTCATGCAAATCTTAACGTAAGCCCACATTTGAATTCATGACTTGCAACACCGTGCGAAAACTGTCAATTGAGATACAACAAATTCAATTAAAATAAACAAAAATATTGAAAAAAAAAACTTTGGGAAAACTGTTGAAATTGTTAATTGATTCGTCTGTTCATTTTTAATTTTGTGATGAACGTTGGGGCATGCGTGCGCGTTATTTATTTTATATTGCCATTAAACGACAAGAACGAGCAGACGGCGTTGTGTTGCACTATTGTCAGCAACAAAAAACACATGTAAGACAACCAAATTAGCAGCACCCAGGCAAAAACAGCAAAAAAAGAAAAATTAATAAAGGAATATTCGGCAATCAAATACGGGGGCGCCACTGTGAGCTGTAACAAGCCAAATATAGTGTAACGGTACACTGTGTGCCGTGCAATAAAAGTCAAGTGCCGCGTGGCATTCAACATTGAGAGACAGAGCGTGACAGAGGGGCAGCCAGTGCCAGAGAGCGCTTCGCATTGTGTCATTGACAAAGTAACGCATCGCGCGATAAGAGCCAACAAGAAGCACCCAACGAGACGCTCGATAAACGGCAAACAAAATGAGCAACCAGCAGAGGAGCAGCAGCATCAAGGAAGGGAGGAAGAGCAGCGGCGGCGGCATCAAAGAGCTGATAGCGCAACTATTGCTTCTTATCAGCATCACATCAGGCTTGCCGGGTAAGTGCCAGGCGAATGAAATGTGCGCCCTGTCCCTGTTTTCCGTGTTCTCTTCCCATTTGAATACCCTGTTTTCAAAGGGGGAGCAACAGAGTCAATTGGGCTTGTGCCACGTCTCATCTTGCATATTTGTTATATTATTTATAATATTATTTATTTGACCATACTCGACTACCTTTAATTTCAAACTTTTATTGATGGAATGACAATTCATAAATGATTTTATAATTAACAGTCCATCAATTTTATTTTCGCCGGATCGTTGAGTGTAACTGAATGTATATTTGTCCTCAGCCCACACACAAACAATACTATTTATTGAGATTACATAATTGATGAAATCATATAAGGATATATCCAAAATATATTCGACTTGGCCAATATCAATCCCCAATTTAACTAGTCCTGCTTGACTATTATTAATATACTTTGAACTCCGTCTATATTAAAAACAGAGTATCCTGTCATTCCGTCTCTTCTAACTACAATTTACAAACTTGTTTTTTCCTGGCCGACTTATCTTAGCCCAAAATTAATGCAAATATTTAACGTGTTTTTTTATGGATTTGGCGTTGTCATGCTCCTAGCTGTTGGCCCGAGCTGGTTGCCTCTGCCATTGCCGTTGCCTACGTTTAGGCGCTGCCACCATTGACATCGACTGTCGTCATAAAGATGATAGTCGGGCAGGAAGCTGGTGACTTGACATGACTTATAAATGGCTTTCGATTAAGTTGTCACATTAGCATTAATCTCAACATGGCTCCCCATGTCTTCACGTCGTCCCTCCCGCCATCACCATATCGTGGCTGGCGTAGGCCATTGAAGTTCAATCAAGTTGTCTGGATTGCCTGCTGTGCGGGAAGCGTGTTAATGAGCCGTGAGCCCTCATAAGTTGCTTTCGATTATGACGTTGACGTTGAGCCCTTCTCACTCTGCTTATGACGACGAGTCGATTCAGTGCAAGGCATTTTCATGCTTGAGGTGCATTAGAAGGCTTGAGTTGAACTGGGTCAAGTCGGCTGCTGGCCAAGTGGCATGCGCATCAGCCCCTACTATGCCAGAGATGCCACCGTAATTAGTTGGTTGACCCCATGGATGGTCCATTAAATTACATGGCATAATTGGAAATTAATTACCCAGCGAGCATACCTGTAGGTATTTACCTGCTCTCGCACAAATTGATTATTTTTATTAAAGGACATGCATGTTTAATTCCATACAAAGGCAACCACAACCTGACAAACGGGCGAATGTTTCATGAATAACCGCGTGTTATAATTCGGCCCTTTAAATTAAATTCATCAACTCTGTCGGGCCGACAGATGCTCAGCATGAGACTCTGCGTTTAACTCTCAGGCTTTGTATGCAAATAAGTAATACAATTATGGGGCATTGAAAATGAATGTAAAGGCCAGCCCAATATAATTTTAATTTTATTTCAATTTTAAGCATTTTATATAAGCATTTTTATATTTTATAACCTAAAGCTATTATCAATTGTTGCCAAGTTTGCAAGCTCGCGTTGCGTATTCCGTATACGTAATGCTTATACGTATACGTAATGCGGCATGTGTGTGTTAGGCCGAGTGCCACACCTACTTTGGATGGAATTGGCATGTTTTTCCAAGCGATTCGCTCAACATTTTTGTGATTCAACGATTTGAAAACATTTTCGCATTTCCTGTCACCTACCTCAACCCCCAACCCTTGGCCCCTTTGTACACAATTGTTGTTGTGCCACAATAGCAAACAGTTAAATAAGCGATACGATTCGCCGATAAATGTGAATTCGTATATAAAAAAAAAATAAGCCGAAATCAACAGCTGGCATGGTGCTTTGTGTCAGTGGGTCGCACGGTGTTGGGTTCAGTTTCGTTTTATTTAAAAAATATTTGTGCTTCTTTATTTAACAAAAAAGTTGTTTGCATTGTTTCTATTCGTCATTGTGTGTATCTTCATCATTTTGTGCGTATTTCACATTTATGTTTTGTCGAAGCATTTCCGATGCATTGTTTTTATTTATATAATATGTAGTGGCCATTTCTTGCATTTCGACAATATTTTCATGAAAATAATTGAAAATGATTCCAACAGCTAGGCAGAAAAAACGTTAGTGTAAAGAACGGAATTTGTCAATTGAAATTCATCGTTTACTTTTAGTAATTTTTTGAGAATGTGAAATTGAAAGGAATTTATGATATTTTGTAAATTCCTCAGGTTATTTTTAATCAATATATATATTGGCTTATTCGAATGTTTGGTATTTACAACTATTATATGATATTGTCTGTTTTATTGACAATAGCTTCTCTTAAGGCTAGAGACAAAAAAAAAATCAATTTAATATCGTTTATTGAAACTGCGATTAAAAAACATAATGAAATAAAAATGTTTTATTGACATGCTACTCTCAAAGCTAGAGACTAAAGGAAGAACAGGAATTTAATAATAATATAAAAATAAATAATATAACTGTCGTTACTTGTAAAAGAATTTTTGGAATTTGATTATTGATTGTATAAATGCAGTTAAAAAGAAATTAAAAATCAAACCCGAAACCAGTTCCTTTTGGCAACGACATGTGTCCATAAGAAGAAATCTTTACAAATCATATAGCAGATAAATAAAACATTCGATTTTTATTGTAAACGCGAATACATCAGGAAGGGCAATGAGAAAGTTTGTGCGCTGTCGTTTTATTGCTGTGCCAAAAATTGGGCTCAATAAAAATTTACGTTTCATAAAATTTATTATGTATGCAACACAATGGCAATAACAACAATCGATGCGGGGGCCAAAAGTTAAGACCGTCGCGCTGGCAAAGCGGCAAAACTTACGCAGCATACAAAATGACGACCGAGTCCCAGGGAAAATCAAAGCTGAAAAAAACATAGGAAATGAACAACTTTATATGCAGGATAATGGTCAAGCCATTATTAAGGCTCGTATCCTGAGTATGTGTTCTGGTGTGTGTGTGTGTGTGCGAGTGGCTGATGTGTGTGTATTAGTAAGTTCTAAATAGTGGGCGCATAGGCCCAACCGAATTTATGATGTGTGTGTGCTTGCGACCCTCAACACTTAAATCGTGTTATAAGGTGAAGTGTGAATCAGCTTTTGGGCGTGCCCAAGGCGCACTTCCCCACTCCCGCAAAAATAACCACAAAGATTGAAAGGGTGGAACAATGCTGTATGAATGCGTCAAAAGATGCAAAAGTATCTGATACTTAAAATTGTGTATGATATGCAATAAAGCGATAAAAGCTCAGCATACACATATATGTATATGTATATATATTTCTATATACTATATATGTAGCTAAAACATTGATAGTATAATTAGTGTTTATTAGTTGATATGTACTGTTAACCATTTTAAACTGGTGCATAGATTAAATTTTAATAATAGCACGCTTAAGATACGACAAAAATATATGTACAATTTAACATAGCTATCAGTAGCTTTATGCACAAAGTAGATAATAGCGCATCACATTTCAGATGTTGGCAACTTTAACTAAGAATTCTCTCTAGGCGTGCACACGAGCCCAATAATCGTTATTAAACTCTCTTTGTGTCGTATGCATTTAATTGATGCTGTTTGGCTTTCGGGAAAATGCTGTTGGTTGTCGAATTTTTGTTTAGCTCACATGACATAGATTAAATCTTTTGTCGGATTTTCAAGTAATCGAAGTTAAAAGTTTGCTATCACAGTTTTTGGGGACCGCAGCTGATAAAAGCTTTGGCCTAATGGCTGTTAGCTGACAAACAGACTGAAAGACAGCCAGACAGCGGGACGAGCACGCAAATGGACGAATGGTTGGGCAAACTTGAGTATTAAAAGTCAAATTTATGTAAAACATTGTGTAAACTGTGTGGGCGATATGCAAATACCAGCAATGCGTCGAGGGGAGTAAATAGTAAAGTCAGCATGACTTTTCAATTTCAAATGTGTTTAATGGGCTTTTATGGTGTCAAAGGGTCGCTCGGTCCGCCAGGCTGGCATTTATCAAGTGTGAGCCATTGGAATAGCTGACTGCATTTCCCAGCGAAAAACCCGCATCTGTGCAGCCAGCATGTGTGTGTGCGAGTGTGCGTCTGTGCGAGTGTGTGCTGTTAATGAAAATTGAACTTTTTGGCAAAGCTGCGAAAGTGCCGCACTTGGGGAATAGTTGCAGGGCCACTTTAATATTTGACCTGAAACCGGCGGCAATGTGGAGGCATAAAAGTTCGCACTGATTGGGCACCATTCAGCAGGCGGCAGCAGTTGCCAAGGGCAACTTTTAATTACACTAAAATAATTACAAACCAATAACTTGATCAACGCATAGATCACCCAATCAATATTGCAACACAAAACACACACACACACACACACACAAGCAGAGGCAGGCAGCCAGTTGCTGCAACGCGTGCATCAATTAAGCACAGCTCCAGAAAAAACATTTCAGAAAAAAATTAAACCAAATGGTTTGCCGTAAAATATGAAAAATTGTCGCTGTAGAAAATGTTGCCATATGAAACGGGGGCACAGGCTGTGGCAGCTACAACAGCTTCTTGTTTGGGCGGGGGTTGCACGTAATGAAAATGTTGCTCATATGTAAATACCAGATACGAGTGTGTGGGTGTACGTGCTTGGCTGAATGTGTGCGTGTGTGTTTGTGCTGTTTGTGTTGTTTGTGTGTTTGCATGTGGATCAACAGGGACACATTTTGTGTATGTGCCGCACACACAGCGGCTGATTGCGTTGGGCTTTACAAGCTGCGTTGAGCGGCATGCGCCTAATTAAATTAGAAATTAGAAAACGGAAATATGAGCACAAAATCTTGGTGGCAGAGAGATGGATAGAGGCAGAGTGAGCGAGGAGAGGGCAAGGAAGTGAAGCAGCAGGCGCAGATGTATATGATTTTTGGTTTGATAAAGTCAAGAGCTGGTGCACCAGGTCGAGTGTGTTGTATTTCCCATCGATTTAGATCCCAGCGCTGCCAACACAGACAAAAGCA